AACCTCTGCTCTGCCAAACATACTGGTAAGAGAATGAAAAAGACAAGTCACAGACTGGGAGAAAATATGTGCAAAACTCATATCTGATAAAAGACTTGCATCCGAAATATAAAAAAACACATGTTCAGGTATCTGTCTGAACACACATCTCATGAGAGAAGATACAAAGATGGCATACACGCACACGGGAAAAGGTGTTTAACGTCATATGCCATTAGAGAATTGCAAATTAAAACAAGGAGATACCACTACACACTTACTAGAAAGGCTAAAATCCAAAACACCGACAGCACCACATGCCGGCGAGGATGTGGAGCAGGAGGAACCCTCACTCACTGCTGGTAGGAATGTTAAACAGCACAACCACTTTGGACAGTTTGGTGGTTTCTTACAAAACTAAACACTGATGGACTAAATTTTTATGTAAACCTAAAACTACTCTAAAAAATAATCTATTAATACTTTTTAAATCAAGGCACCATACACTTGAGAGCTGTGCACTTTACTGTACACATGTTATATTTCAACAACAAAAAGTATCCTTTAAGTGAGGCTCCTGAGAGACTCCGTGCTGAACCAATGTAACTTCTACGGCCCCAAGAAACCCTGCCCGTCCAAGGAGGATCCCACCCAGGCTGCAGCTGCTGAAGGAAGCCGGGTTCTGCCCAGGCAGAGACCCAGCTATATAATAAAGTGAAATGAACTTTTAGTTTTTTGGACTCTAACCTAAGAATTTTAGACTCGGAATTTTAATTCATAACGATAAGCAAATTTGATTTTGGAGTTTAATTTCTTTGTACTTCAATTTGCAAGGATATTTAATTTGGGGACTTTAATTTCTCTCTGGGAAATTCTTCACGGAAAGGGGTTTCTACTCAAGTCAGGAGCATCTCTGGATGGTTGGCCCTTTGTATTGAACGATGTCAACGCTATTGTCTAATGTCACTGCGGAACCTACGCTGGATAAAATGACAGCATAGAATTTGGAGTGAGAAACAGAACAGGTAATGAGTTCCAGCAGGGGACAGAGGAGCCTTGAAATCAATGCATTATTCTGATCCATTTTACAGCACTCTGGGGACATAAGCCACACTGTCTACCAAAGGTCCCCAGAAGATTGACAAAGGAAAGGTGGTTCTCTTAGGAAAAAGGATCCCAGGAAGGTTGCAGACCGCCCTGGTGGTGACGGGTCTCCTCCCCCAAGGACAACGGCCGCACCTCTGGTTGGCTATAAACTTAACAGTTAAGGCCAGGGAGTTCAGAAAACCAAACCGGGACACGTTGCAGGAGCACGTCCTGCCCATAGCTTCATGCCTCCATGCACAGGGGCCTCCTGTGCCCTCTCCCTGCCCAGGCACGTGCCTTTTGGGGCAAGAGTAGTTCACTCTCTTCTTTTCAGATCTGCCTGCAGGAGAGGATGCTAGAGTCCAAGATGTGCTTCCAGGCGCACAGGGAGGCAAGAGCTCGCTCCAGGGCACAAGGTCTGCTGCCGTCCTCTGCCAACCTCGGCCTGCATCAAAGTCCATCCACGTCAGATGTGGGTGCCAACAAGCCAGCTGGCTCTTGGACTGCTCCCACAACCACTTTGGTATAAATACATATATCATAAAAAAAAGTGATCTTTCGATCCACGCCACCTGACTCTCTCGACTGATTCTGACCTTGGATAGGAAACAAGGTGTGCCACCTGTCCCACCTGCTGCCCTCATGCCCAGCCACTTAGCTGATCCCTTCTAGCGTTTCTTTGTCTTCCAAACATTAACACTCATTTTAAGTTTCCTTCCTTCTACTCTTATTTGATTTGTTCTGTTTTTTTGTCCCCAAACTTCTTGAGTCGAACAATTAAAATGGTATCTTAAAAGATACTTTCTTCTTCCCCAACATAGGCATTTAAAATTGCAAATTTTCCTATAACTAGTTTACTTGTATCGCCTAAGTTTTAATATGCAAGATTATTTTGTCATTCAGTTTTAAATAATTAGTCATTTCTATTTTGATTTTTTCACTGACCCATGGAATAATCAGAAGCATATTTTAAAATTCCAAAAAGGCAGCAGTTTGGAGTATTTATGGGGAAGGGAGTGACTGACTTCTGACCTTGTGGCATTATGGCCAGAGAATGCCATAAAATTGATTTGATATTGGTTCTCTTGGCGTAGGGTGACACATAAGAATGATCAGTTCTTATAAGTTTCAAGGTATGCTTAAAATTTAATGCATATTCTCTAAATTGGATGCACAGGTTTTCTAAGATCATCTTTTTAAATTGTATTTTATAACTACCTCATTAATTTGTTTCTGCTTGATCTATAAATTTGCAGAAATTGATCATCTCCTAATGATTGTGGGTTTTTCAATTTCTCCTTATAAGTTCATCAAGCTGTCCTCTATATTTTGAGGCTATGTATATTAGAAGTTCACAGATTCAGAATTATTTATTTTCCTAGTGAACCGTTTTCTTGGTTATTATTTAATACCCTTTATCCCCAGCACTAAATTTGCCTTTTGTCTCTTTTGTCTCATACTAATGTTGAACTACTTCCATTTGGGGTCAATATTTTAACTTAACTTTTCCCACTTTTCACTTTCCACGTCAAGAGGCAGCAGTGGTTCAGACCCCAGCTCAGTTCCTTACGAGCAAAGACGGCAAAACTGACCAACAATAAACACAAAAACATGTCAAGTATGTTTCTATCCATTAGTCTACAAAGATACTAGAAGACAAAAAAAGTCATTGGTCCCCACCCTTGAAGGATGCTAGGAAAACACAGCATTATTTTGTAAATTAGCAAATAAAGGGGGAAGAATCAAGTATTATTCAGACTTTCTCATATGAACTGTACCTTAAGGCAACCGAATATTAGGTCATTAAATAGGAAGTGTCCTATTTTGAATCAAAAGCTTAGTTTATCATATCTCAAACAAGAAGCAGTACAATTAATCAAAGTATGCACCTAAACTATAGACACAGTTTTGCCATCTTAACGTTAGCTTGTTTATGCCAGCAGCAAAGAAGCCTGGAGAGCGAGTGGCAATGAAATCAAAAAAGGTATTTTCCAAAGCTTGTTGAGAATTGAGTATTTTCCTTGCAAGAACTAGTCCAAAGCTTGAAAGAAGTGGTACTCAGCTGATGCAAGGTCTGGTGAATACGGTGGATGAGAAAGAGATTCTAAGTCCAGCCTCTGTAGTTTGAGCAGCATTGTTTGTGTAACACGTGGTCAAGCGTTGTCTTACAAGAGGATTGGCCTGTCTCTATTGATCAATCTCGGCTGCTTAATTGTAAGCATCCTCATCATTTCATCCAATTGGCTGCAGTAGACGTCTGCTGTAATTGATTGACTAGGTTTCATGAATCTGTAGTGGAGAATACTAGTGCTGGACCACCAAACAGACACCATTAGCTTTTTTGGATGAATATTCAGTTTGGGGCTGTGTTTCAGCACTTCATCTTTATCCAATCATTGTGCTGAAGGCTTGCAATTGTCAAAAAGAATCCATTTTTCATCATATGCAACAATACGGTGTAGAAATGGTTTGCCTTTATGTCATGACAGCAAAGAAAGGCAAGCTTCCAGATGATTTCTCTTCTGATGCTCATTTAATTCAAGTGGAACCCATCTATCCAGCTTCTTTCCCTCGCCGATTTGTTTCAAATGGTCCAATATTGTTGGGATAGTAATGTCAAACCTTGCTGCTAATTCACGCGTAGGTTGGTAGGTTGAGATGGATTCGCTTCCGCGACGGCTTTCAGCTCATCATTATGCACCTTGGTCTCGCGTCACCCATGTGGCTCATTTTCAAGATTAAAATAATCACAACGGAATTTATCAAACCATCAACGTACTGTGCGTTCATTAGCCACATCCTTCCCAAACACTTTGTTGATATTTCAAGTTGTCTGCACTGCATTAGTTCCACCACACAACTCATATTTGAAAATAACATGAATTTTTGGCTTATCCATGGTTTCAACAAAAATTGCTCTAAAAAAAATTTGAAAGATAATCACAAGCCAAACCATGCATTTGAAAGAATGAGGATGTACCTTCACAATAAAAACAAAACAAGAAGTGTCAAAGGGAAATGTCAGCGATATCAACTGTCAAACTCAGTACTTAAGAAAATCGGACATTTCATACTTAATGACCTTTGCTAGTTGCTAAGGGAGGTTTCTGGTCATGGAAGCATTCCAGCTGACAAAGGCGCCCTAGAAGTTGAATGTCACCGTTGTGCCACCTCACATGAAACAGTGGCTCCATAAAGCAACGGTCACAATGCCCGCCAATATACACAAAACGGAGCAAGCAGACATTAGGTTAGAGCACAGAGGTATGATATCACCAGCCACAAAAAAATTCTCGCCAAAACCAAAAAACACACACCTGGTCACACAGCTAGATCTACATCCCAATCTGCAGGAAAAGAGAAGATAAACGAACACCTTAAACATTACCCCAGGATACAAAAACAAAATCCAGACTACAGGACAGACACATGCTACAATGTAGCTTCTTCAACAAATAAATTAAAAAGAAAAAGCAGAGACTAGGGATGGGGCGGCAACTATGTAGAAAGACTACATAAGGAGACCTAAAATTCACACTGTTCCATTGTCACGTATGGACCTTATTTTTGAACTATTAAAAGAAATTTATTAAGTTACTAAAGAACTTTTAACATAGTTCATGATATTAATAATTGTTAGTTTCTAGGTAGGATATTATTGAGTTTATGTTTTTTAAGAAAGGATCCTTAGTTTTTAGGTATACATGAGAAAATATTTATAGACGAAATTATATAATGTCTGGGATTTGCCTGGTTTCGGGGAGGAAACTGGGATGGGAAGTAGGTGATCGCTATCCGGGCTGCGTGCTTGGTGCGCTGATTCATTACACTGGTGTCTCTGATTCTTCATGGTACAATTTTTAATAATAAAACTTACAAGGTACACACAAAGCTCAGCGCAGGATGTCTCGTCTTCACCATGCATGGGCACTTACCAGCATCAAAGCAGCCATCTTTGCCGATGGGAACGAGGACATGGGACAGGGAGCCAGAGCTGGTCTTCCCAGTCTCATCCAGCTTGACCAGCTGCAGTCGTGGCGTTGTCGCAGGTGGGAAGCGGTAGAACTGGAAGGTGAAATACACAGTCTTTGGCCATGACGTTCCTCGGGAGTCCTGGGCCACTCTGAATCCAACAACAGCTCTGAATTAATCACGTATCCACGGCAGGAACCTGGGGTTTTTGACGCGCACTCATGTAGGGAGACAGTCCTGGCCTGCAGTCACCAGGGCACTGGTAAAGAGGCTGCCACAGTCACCAACGTGAACAGCTTTGCTGTGCCCTTAAGTGACATTAATACCTGCGAATTGGGCCACGCACTGTCCACATTTTAACTGAGGACCACAGAAGATCGGGCAAAGCAGGTTTCATAGTAATTAGAATGGCTTTGGGCGGGTCCTCGCCAAAATAAAATACGAACAGATGGCACTCCTTAGTCTAGTGAGACCTACACAGACAGAGTTCTGCCGGGTCAGAACCACATCAGAGCTCCTCTTCAACACAGGAAATGTGAAAGCCAGATGGAGTAACAAAGACATAATATTCAAGAATTTACCTGCTGAAGGCAAGAAACTGTAGCACTATTTCGTTGCTCTGTAGACAATCTGATTCCTCCTTTTTAGGGTTAAACACCACCGGATCTGCAGGATTCACAGCTTCGGCTGGTTGCCGACTGGCATCGAGAATCTCAGGGCAGCCAGAGGACCGCAGCAGCGCCATGGAGGCTCTGGAGAGCTGGCTCCCTGAACTGGAGCAGAAAGACCCTCAGCCAGCTGCCGCGGGGCGGGCAGCGGAGGCGGCAGGGCCTGCCAGCCTGTTGCTCTGCGGAAAGCCTGCTGTCCAGGGAGTCGCACGGTTTGACCGCACAGCATGTGCCTGGTCCAGTCCCACCCAGAGCCACACCTCACCTCCTGGTCTGGGCTCCCACGACAATAGGGGCGTGCAAAGGCGTGAACGGCAGCTCCTGTAACTGTTCAGCAACTGATGTTTCCAGGACCACGGGAGCCTGGCTCAGGTCAGCTTCCAGGTGAGACACGCTGCCCTCCAACGGGAATGCCTGCCAAACAAAATCCAGACCTGTGACAACCGACAGTGCTCAAATCCAAGGAGACTTACCGAGGAGCTGTCTCTGCAGGGCTGCCAGCTTTGGCAACAAAAATACAGGAGGTTCAGGTACATTTTAACTTCAGGTAAACAATGAATAATTTTAGTATAAGTATGCTCCACGCAAAATTTAGAACATACTTATGATAAACATACTTGTTTACCTGAAATTCAAGTTTTACGGGCGTCCCGTACTTCACGTGGCAACCTGGTTTGTGAGTCCAGAGGCCACGAGGAAGGGATCACCAGCCTCATGAGCCGTGCAGAACCGTGGGGCATGTCTGATGCCTGAGACAGAAATTAATCTCGCAACATATTTACAGAACAGAAAGATGAAACTTCCCCAACACTCAGAGATGAACAGTGTACCGAGGCCCGGGCTGCTGAGTTCGGACGTTTCTCTCGTTCCCGCATCCCCTGAACGTTCCGGTCATTTGCTGTTATTCCACCTTCCACCCCGCACGGCAGGAGACCCAAGTCTCAGACGAGCTTGTCTGAGACTCAGGACTGCTCTCTTTCAAGCTTGGTGCCCCAGCTTTCTGTTCCAGTTCAAAGGGACATCGCTTAACTGGAGGTCACCCCACACCATGTCCCAGGTGCCAGCGATAAAACGGCAGGCAAGCTCTTCACAAATACACGAGCCCCAGACATGTTTTCAATAAGGCTGGATAGACGCATGGTGCTATGAGTGTTTTCAATGAGTAAATAGGGCCGGGCACGGTGGCTCACGCCTGTAATCCCAGCACTTTGGAAGGCCGAGAGGGGAGGATCACTTGAGGACAGCAGTTCAAGATCAGCCTGGGCAACTTAGCGAGATCTTGTCTCTATAAAAAACTAAAAAATTAGCCAGGCGTGGGGGTACCTGCCTGTAGTCCCAGCTACTTGGGAGGCTGAGGTGGGAGGATTGCTTGAGCTCAGGAGTTTGAGGTTACAGTGAGCTATGATCACACCACTGCACTCCAGCCTGGGCAACAGAGTGAGACCCTGTCTCCAGAAAAAAAGTGTTTTTGAATTAAAAAAAAAATGAATGAGTAAAAGGAACTATTTTTCCTCAACACATTTCCAGTTAAGAATGGAGATGCAGTTTGCAGGTGAGAAAGCCAGCTTTTGAGACCAAACTCTACATGAATACCCAAGGTCAGTGGCAACTCGGGGCTATCTAACCATTAGCTCAGCCTGCACCCTGGACGGCAGCTCCACTAGTCCTCCTGCAGCTGCAGACAGCAAGGAGCAACCTGGGGGCTGGAGGCTTGTCTCGGGCCCTGTTTATAGCTCTGTACAGCCTTTCAGAGAATCGGGGCAGTTGAACTTGGTTTTTTCAGGCAGACCAAAATCAAAATCAACCACTGTGGCAAGAACTCACAGGCCACATTCTTCCTTGGGCTCAAGAGACAGAATGATGGCAACGACCTGAGGCATGAAAGTAAGCAGCTCCCCCACCCCCAGCCCCACCCCGTCCCACCGCCCACATCACAGAGCCCACCCAGGCTCCATCCCCTAACTGAGGACCAGCACTGCTCGAGAGATCACAGACTTGCACAGAAGTCAGGAGTTGAGGAGCCACTCTCGGGTAGCAGGTGGGGCAGGAGCGGGGATGCACTTACTGCCTGGGCTGGGGAGGGCGGAGAGCCGTCTGGCTGCTGCGAAGCGGGTCTGGCTGCGCGGCGCTGAGCTGGGGACTGCGGGGAAGCCGCCAGCTGGGAGAGCGACAACTGGAAGGGAAAGAGAGCTTGGGTGAGGTGTCGGCCCACGAAGCCCCCCACGTGCTGACCCAAACGCAGCATAGCTCTGGACCCAGCCACAGAAGGGGGCGACATCTGCAGTCTCCTGGTCAGCGGCTGCTCTGGAACCTAGAACCACTTCTAAATTTCCTTTAATTATAGAGATGTGATTCTGCGATCTCTTCCAGATCATAGTAATTGAATAAAAATATTACAAACGAGGAAAAGCACGCAGGGAAGGGAGCACCCAGATCTTACGTGCCTCATGAGGTGACCCAGCGTGAAGTGCACAGAATTACGTATCACGTACTCTTTCCAGAAATGCTTGAGTCCAATCGAGCCGTTACACCTAACTTCCGGTTTTTATGAAACATAAAAGAACAGGATAAATGGCACCGTGAGAAGCCATTAGGCAAGTCCAGAGCTAGCCCAGTATTTTAGTCAAAAAGACGACAAAAAGGAAAAGCGAAGTGGAAGAGAGCAGTAGGATTCTTAAAGATCAAAAAAGACAAAACCTGTTGTGAAGACGGATCTTATTTGAATCTCTGAACATAACAGTTATATCTTTTGGTCACAACTGGATTGAATACAGCATGGGCATGTGAGAGTAAGAAATGATCAGCTGTGTCTGGCGTGGTCACGGCATTGTGATTATGCAGAGAAATACCCTTGTTTTCCTAAGATTACAGGATTAAGGGGTGAAATAAGTCAGTAAATTACTTTAAAATATTTAACGCAAATGTACATGTATGGCAAAATGTTCTGTTTCCTTGTATCTTCAAAAATTTTCTTAATAAAAATTTGCACAACACTTATAATTTGGACTTTAATTGGGTGTGACTCCATGATCATATATAACCTGTGGCCCTTTAAGTCCATTTACAAGATGTTTTAGTACATATTACAAACTTTTATTTGTATCATACGATGCTGAAGTTTGAAACTACAGTGACTACTGCCCAGAATTTAATGCCAACTAATAATTGAGATGTAGTTAAACATTCTTACACGGTTTGCTTTAATGAGCACAGAAATGCATTATTATAAAGAAAAAGTAACCAAAAGGTTGGTTGACCAAGCAGTGTGGAATTGAGATAGGAATCACCCCCTAATCAGAAACTGAGAGAGACTTCATTTCTAAGGTTTGGCTAACTTGACCCATATGCTCCATTCTTTTTTAAGAATCCCATATCTGGCAAACTGTTTTTCAAAAATAAGAAATAAATTATGACTTTTCCAAATATAGAAGAGCAGAGAGGTTTTTAGCACTAGCAAGAAATGCTAAAGAGAGTAATAGAATTTGAAAAAAAAAGAACATTAGATGGTTATCTAATGTCAAATGAAGAATAAAGAGCTCAGTCAAGGTAAATACATAAGCAGTTATAGAACTTGTGTTATTGTAACAAGGGCTTGTAGCTCTACCTTTTGTGTTTTACATGATTTAAGAGACTAATGCATTAAAAACAACCATAATCTTAAAAAAAAAAAAAAAAACAATTTGCAAAGTCAAAAAAACAAAAAACGCCAATGAAAAGCAAGTAGAAAGGAGAAAGATTCTCAGGCTATGGGGTGGAAGGGCCTTTGACCTCTCTCACTTCTATCCCTGGACTGAATATCTCCAAGGCCCCTTGGGTGCTGCCGCCTGTGTTCCCATCAAATGCACCTCCCTGCGGAGGCAAGGACCACGCTGGCGGCCAGCACCGGCTCTGCAGACAGAGAGCGGGATGGAATCCGCACTCCACCATCTCGGTACTGTGTGCCCTCTGGCAAGTCAGCGAACCTCTTCTTGCCTGCCTCCTCACCTGTAAAATGGGGATAACAGTAGTACCTAGATTGCAGGACTACTGTGAGAATTAAACGAGAACTCGTGCCAAGGGCTTGGCACGGTACCCGCATACAGTGAGCCTTCCACAAATGCTACGGATATCTGGACGACGGATGCTGCCATGAAAAGGCTGACGTGGAAGGATGGGGACCCACCCTACTGAAGACGCGTGTCTCCAACCTGGACTCGTTTCCCAGCACACAGCCACTTGGGATATTCACTGTCAACAGTGACAGTCGGCACAAAGGAGGTGCTGGCACGGAGAAGGACTCAGTATACGAAGAGGTGCTGAGGCATGGATGGGGCGGGGGTGACGTCACGGGGACCCTGGCAGCATCTTCAGGGAGAAGAGAAGGTCTTCCCCCGCACCCCAAAAGGTGTCGTGGAAACTGCACCAGGGAACATGCTGGATTGGCTGGCAGGGAAGCCTGGGAGATGTCCATAGACAGGTGCTTTTAGGTGAATATAATATTCACTCGTGATCCAGTTTCCAAGCTGCTTCCTAGAGACAGCCTTAGATACCGAATTACTCAACTTTTCTAGAAAGTCGATTTCCAAGTTGATATTGGCAGGCAGAGCCATCAGGAGGCACAAGCCAACTCTGACCTCGCCCACAATCATACAGCTAGAGCCAGCCTGGAGCCACAGGCGAGGGCCTTGGGTGACTCAGGATTCCAGAGGAGGCCAAGCAGGAGCGCAGCACAGCCGCTGGCCAGCCTCGGCCACGCCAGAACGTCTTCCTCAGGAAATTCTAGCACACAGAGAGGTTCACTATCCGACACGCGATTGTCACCGTGTTGTGTCTCTTTCAGCTGTGGCCCTGTCTCCACCAGCACTAGCTGCTCGGCCCAGGGGCCAGCTGTGCCTGGCGGCCGGCTGCTCTGGGCACTGGTGGCTGCCAGGTGCCCTCTCCTGGCAGAGTCTGTCTGGGAGAGCAAAGGGGTTAGTTAGCACCATACCTTGGGGTCTCTCAGAAAAAAACAAAGGCTGTTCAGTCCTGGAAGAGTCGCGACTATTGGACAAAACTGCCAGGGAGGTGCTGAAACGAGGCTTCAAACAGCAACCGGGGGCCACCAACAACAGCAGGGAGCTGCCCCCACAGCTGGCGCTCTGGGTTACCATGGCAGGGACGGCTGTGCAGACAAGACAGGGGACTAACATGTCTCGCCACCCAGCGGGTCCCTCCCTGGCCACACAGAAGCAAAGAGGAGGGCGACTGTCCTTAAAGGTGCAAAGGTATTTTCATGTGCCCAGAACTTTCCAGCACTTTCCTTCGGAATTCTCAAGTAGGCCCTGCTGGGCTGGGACTTACCCCTGGTCCCACGGGTGAGTCCTGGGTGGCAGCGAGACCGTGGGGTGCTGATGCTGGTGGGCCTAGGAGGAAGCACAGGGGGTGTTGGTGTTGGTGGGGTCCATCAGCCTCTGCAGGGAGCCCCGAACCCCAGCGCAGTCAGGCCTTGACACGTTTCTCCACCTCGTCTGTAGTCGGGGCCCAGTGGGCAGTCGCCAAGGGTGCAACCCTTGGCGAGTACAAATGAGACGAACATCAGCCCCTCCAAGTCGCTCGGGAGAGTGGAACCTGAGCTAAGTCTGCCGGTGAGGACGAGCAGCCCCCTCGCTCCGCGCTACCTCACTGCGTCCGGGTCCTGCCGTCTCACTGAGCCTGGGCCTTAACGGGACAGGAAATTTTTCAGACACTTAAGTTCTCTAACGTGCTTTTCAGTCTTCTCATCAGCTCACACAGCCAGCCCAGGAAGAGGTGGGGTCCACCGTTTGCCTCATCTAGTGGTTCCCTAGCCCAGGCCGACTTGCTACTTTGTTGAATAAGAAACTTCAGAGCAGACGCTGCCGGCAGGGCCCGCGCCCACAAATGCCTGCTAACTCAGCCTGTCCCCCAAGTCCTGCCTAACCTAGGTGCAGGCGTGGCAGCACTGGGAGGCCCACCAGGAAGAGGTGAGGCCAGTGCTTTACATGGCCCCCCTGGAGCAAGGGGCTGAGAACAGCCTTTGACCTAGATGACAAGGGATTGAGCTGACCCCGCCCACGGGCACCACCTACACCGCCCAGCCCAGCAGCAGCACGGTGACCCAGAGGGGGTGCTGGCTTTGTCTGGGCTGCTTTCATGCCCCCTTCCCTGGGCCACATGGACCTGAAGCATCCGCAGCCATCTACCATCTTCCGGTCATTCCAGCGCCGCCATCTGCCCCTATGCACCATGGACACACCCTCCCGTCAACAGCAGGCGCTGCCCCAGCTAGACCCATGCCGTGCTGACGGCCACCTTCGCCCACCTGGAGGCCCAACACAGGGTGTGAGCCCTGGGCACTCCCCGTGAGGCGACCTGCCTGGCTTCCCTGAGGCCATAGCCCCAACCTCCAACCCCCACGTCCACACCCTGCTTGGCTCAGTACAGTCCCCTACATGGCAACAGGACTCTGTCCACCGGAGTAGACCCCACCCCCATTGGACTTCCAGGATAACCTGGACGTCCTGAGAAACTGGGTCCTGCGGCTCGTGGACCCGTCCCGGGTCCACGGCCCTGCCCGCCTCTGTCACCCTCACACAGCCACCGGGCTCGCCCATGAGCCTGGTCCCAGCTGTCTGCCCTGGCTCCCCCTCCCTCCCCTGTGGCCTCTGCTGCCAGAGTCCCTGCATGGCCCATGTCTGCCACGAATGTCAAGCAAAGGAATCTCTCACAAGACCTGGAATCCCAAATCCCCATGGCACACAGCACGGGGCAGGCACTCAGTACCTGCCGATCACATGAGTAACCCAGATATCCATGATTTCAAATCCTGTGTGCTCTGGGTAGAGAATGCCCACCCATTTCCTATTCTAATCTAAATCACAACAAAACAAAAATAACAACAAAAAGGCTGTCTACCAAGGAGGAACTGAATCCAGGAAGCACCACCCCAAACCCCATGCTGCTGTAACCACCAGAGCCAACACGCCGCCCAGGCCTCTTCCAGCTGCTTCCAGAATCCACCTGACAACGCATTGCAGGTCCTTCCCAGCTGAGGGATCCAGTGGACACCCTGCTGAGGGCCTGCAGGTAGGGTGGGGGTGGAGATACAGGGAAGGCTGTGGGAGCCGGGCCAGAGGGAACCCCCATACCTCAGATGATCCGACCGCCCTGCCGACGGCACAGCGCACGGTCCAGCCACCTCCTGGGCAGTGCCCACTCACCAGTCCCAGCTCCTTTCTAACAAGCCAAGTCAACGTGGTTCCAAAGAACTCTGAGACACTCTCATCAGAAAAGCCTTCGATTCTAGAAATGAGCTCACGCTGTCCTTTAGTGGGAGTTAGCAAATCATCTAGCAAGTTACTTCCCCAGAAAAAAATAATTGCGCTGGAAGCAAAGCGTAGATGAAGATTCTGCTGAGACCCAACTGTTCTCAGTTCAGGTGTGGTGGCTCATGCCTGTAATCCTAGCACTCTGGGAGGCCAAGAGTTCAAGACCAGCCTGAGCAAAAGCAAGACCCTATCTCTGTTAAAAATAGAAAAATTAGCCAGGTGTGGAGGTGCACATCTGTAGTCCCAGCTACTTGGAAGGCTGAGGCAGGAGGATCACTTGAGCCCAGGATTTGGAGATTGCAGTGAGCTATGATCTCACCACTGCACTCCAGCCTGGGCAACAGAGCAAGACCCTGTCTCAAAAAAACAACGAAAGCTGTGTGCCTCTCCGCAGATTCCTTGAGCGTCTTGTGCAGACAGTGTCAGAGCTCCATGCAGCAACCCAATGCCCACCCCTCAAACACAGCCTAAAAGATGACACAGGAAAGCAGCAGGCGGAATTCTAGCTCTTTCCACCCTAAACAGGGACTCTGAAAACTCCGCAGGCTGATTTTGGTAATGAGGAAAAATTGCAGGGAATGGCTCCATTATCTCCACGAAGAGGAAACCGGCACTTAGGCGCACGCCCTCCGTGCGTCCCCCGGGTGGGTCAAACCTGAGTGAGAAGTTAGGCCGTCGAAGCACATCAAGACTTCTCACACGCACTTTCTTCTCCCCATAGGCTCAAATTTCGGTATCACGTGGTATGTTTTTTCAGGTAATTCTTTATATCGTGACTTATCATGCAATTTTATCTTCTAAGAGAGTAAAACAGCCTACAGAAGTCTCTGGCCGCCATTTAAAAAGACGCTTGCTGGTGAGCCCAGGGCTGAGAGGGCCCAAACCCACGTACGCCAGCGAAGCACAGGCTGAGAGAAAGTACACCACCAAATGCCCCATTTCCATCTTCTTGTTCTAATGTCCTGTGTGCAGTCCTTGGTTAAGTTGCTTCTCAAACCCCACGAACAGTCCTGCCCGAGACCACCGTGTCCTCCACACAGCGCCCACTTCCCTTCCTCCGAGAGTCTCCCAAAGCCACGATGGGAGTCTCACTGGGAAACCCAACTCCTGCCCAAGAACACGCCTGGCTGAGAACTTTCCGGGCCAGCAAAACTGAGCCACGGAGCAACACACACATGCGCACGAGGGCATATGTAAGAACGTCCTCGCGGGCCCTCTGCGGCAGCACAACGTCAGCAGCGACGCAGGTGCCCCTGACAACAGAAGCACCTGAATAAAACCTGGCACATCCGATGGGTGCACAGCAGCAACTGGAAGGGAGGAGGTCGGCCTGTGTGTGCTGACCTAGGAAAGTGGCCAAGTTGAGTCATAGAGTCAAGACAGCAAGTTAACAAACCATTTGCACACTGCAATCCCATCTGCGTTGCAGAAGCTATCCACATCAAAATGGAGTCACTCACGTCACACCCCAACAAGACGGAGCCAGGAGGCCATGAAGGAGGGGCCCTCTCACACGGGTGCCTAGGAGACAACTATGCAAGGAATTCCTCAAAACCGCAGTCTTCCAGATGAGCGCCTCGCACCAGGACGTGTGCCTAACAACGGCTGTCTCCACCAATGAGCTAACGCCAACTCCTGCAACAAGCCCCCTGTGACCAGCGGTCTTTGTTTCAGAATAGCTTACGTTCTCCTTTTTGTCTGTAAAATCTTCCCCTTTGCCCCAACTGCCTTGGACGCACCGATGGTCTGATACGGCAAGCATATCCCAGACTGCAATCCCCTGCTATTCCAAATAAACTCTGGGAGTCGGTCTCTGTGGTTTATTTCAGGTTGACAACACTGAAGAAAAAAAAGAAAGAAAGCCACCCGTGTACGCAAGTATGCTGGTAAATTCACTGACATCCACAGAACAGTATGAAATGTGAAGTGGCTATAACTGCACCCTTTATACGTGTTAGTAAGCGCGTATTCGTATACTACCTGTATAATTTAAAATAAATTAAGTTTTAGTTTAAGAGTCACAATAAGGTGAAGACGCTCCTGGTTGCACCAGTAACACCAGTCAGCACAGAAACCGAAAAATGAGATTTCTCAGCAGCTCCAGCTGTCCGCTCCAGCTGCTCCTCCCCAAGCAATGAGGCCGCTACTCACACGCCAGCCAGCAGAAGGCTGGGCTCCTGCGCTGGGAGGTAGAATCGGCATCTGGCCAAGCCACCAACAGACTCTGGTTTCAGGTAGATAGCCAGGACGTTAAAAAGAGGAGAACGGAAACTCAGAGACGAGCTCTTCCGTGCTGCTCTGAGACACGGTGTTGCCAGCACGCCCTCAGCTGACAGAGCCAGGCCCAAGGAGAGAAAGGACGGACTACATCGGTGGTTTCCCACGACACCAGAGCAAACTGCGATCCGAAACATTCCGTCCTGACTGCTTGAGACAAAGGAAAACAGATTTCCCACGCGGCAGATTCTGCCGCCAGTCAGAAGATCACTTCCCCGATGCTCTGCTACTCGCCAGTCCGCCTCCACTGCTGAGAACCGCCGTCAGCGAATCTCGGCCATCCACTCCGCTTCTGTCAGTTTGGCTTCGAGCAGCCCGAAGCCCCCCTTGGCTGATGCGCAGGCCTCACGGGAAGGCAAGGCCTGCCCTCTGACCCCAAGCCAGGCAGCCATGTGTCCCACCCGCTCACAGAGACCCGAGTGTCCACACGTCCTCTGCCTTCTGCCTGGAGGGGACCTGTAGGAGCACACAAACGAGAATGTTCCACACTCAAGAGAGAGGGCACACTTTTCCAGTCCACGCTTCTCACTCAGCGTTTGCAACGTGTCCAGTGGCAAAAGCTAGATGGTGAGAAAATAATGCTCAAATGTGGTCACGCGGCGAGAATTCCCAAGAACACACCCGAGCCTCCTCTGGCTACCCCCAGGGAGACCGTCACGTACATTGAGTAAAGAACAGAAATGAACATTATAACTCAGAGTAACAATACCACCAAAATCACAGCCAAAAACAGAGGAAGGAGCCCTCCAGCCGAGCCCGCTCCCCAGGCACTTGGCTCTCCCAAGAGAAGAGGGCACTGG